TAGTTTCTTATGTCAGGGCTGAAAGTAAGCTCATCACATGAGATGAATTGTGCAGAAACACAACAGTAGAGGGCTGCTGCTCTCTCAGCCAATAACAGTGCCGTCTCGTCCTGCTGTGGTGACTTTTATTTAAGCATTATCTAAGTTTACATCTTAAGACTTGTTTTCTTAACATTCCAGGAATACCAAAGCAGCCAGATATGCTTTTACTGATTATAGAATAAACAATGGGCTTTCTTAAGAACATGCCGTGCTTCGTCCTTGAACCGCAAAAGCAGCACAAGGACATTTCCTTGTGTTCCCATTATTCTGATTATACTGAGGACATTTCATGGATCAGTGCCCAAAGCACTCAGGACTGCTTGCAGTTCTGGCTTTCTCGCACGCACCCAGCTTGCCGGGGGGACTCATGGGTCACGTCTCCTTCCACATCCTCAGTTATTTCTCTACATTTCCCCCTTTTTGTTTTGCAGCTTGTGCAGCATCAAGGAGAACACGGCAGCTTGTTGCGATGTTACATGGCGGGTGGCTTGCAATCGTCGTCGGACTACAATTAAACATATGATTATTATTATAATAATCATTAACAATCCTGCGGTAGAACCAAATAAAGCATGTAATTTAGACATAGGATTTAAATTATTAAGTCCTTGAATAATTCCAGTCCATACTTTTTGCAAATTAAGTCGTTGTAATCTCTTCTGAAAAGTTTGTTGAATTTCCCCTTGTAAGTTCACAATTTCTTCTGTCAAATTTTTGTGATGTAATAGATGTTTTTTTATTTTTTCCCAGGGGAATGCAGACTGATTATACCGAACCGAAGTGACACAAAAGGCACTTTGATTCCAGTCACAACGTAGCTTCATTTGTCTTTGTAAATTCACAAGTTGGTCTCCCAACATAACCACAGCTTGTTGTAAGTCTGCTATTTCTGACTGTATTTCCGAATCAATTTGTCGTTGAGAGGACCAAAGCATTTCAGAATTTTTATGCCAATCAGTTATATAATCAACGGTCTGAATAGATTGTTCTAAAGCAACTCCAGCTACTGCAGCAGTAGCTGTTATGGCTATAATACCTATGACAGCTGCAATCAACATTCCTACGAATCTTTTACTTCTTTTTAATGCACCAGCTAAATATTGCAAATCAGCCATAGGGAGAGATTCTTGCCATTCCCTTCCAAGATTGACAGGAAGCCAAAGACCTGTCCGAGCTCGTAAAATATACAAACTTTCAGTAGATATGTTAAAAGATATACTAGAGTTAATGCAGGTATACAGAGAGCAATTTTTACATATTATAATACCTAGAGTCTTATTCCATTCAGCTGGTCCTTTTAACAATATATAAGGTAATTTCACACAACCACGAGTATACCGAGTAACATTTTTATGAAAAGTCAAACTATAATGTCCAGATTTGTTAGCCATACGTCCTACCCAAGCATTAATCTTTTCCAAATCTGCCATAAGCTTCTACAAATCCTTTTGGATAGGAAATCCATTTAAATGAGGACCAGGAGGAGAAAACCCTCCAGCATGCCATACTATGGTATCATTAATAGTATTGCTATTAATAGTGTTATTCTCTCTATGCCAGTGTAAATTCTTCAGACCCCTTTTTCCTCGGGCAGAGCCAAAAGGGTTCCAATCAATGACGCTTCCACCTTTTCTAAAGGCCAATATGAAGGCCATTCAGACTGTTTTATTATAGACACATTAGCTCCCGTATCAAAAAGGCCCGTAAATTTCACATTATTATTGAAGGTAATCGTTAATTGGGGACGTTGATCGTTGATAAAGGATTGCCAAAAAACATTTTTTCCCGTGCTGCCGAACCCCCCAGCACGCTTTACCGGGGCGGCTGCTTGTTTTATATATGGTAACAGTAACAATTGAGCAATTCTTTGTCCCTTATTAAATTCTATAGGTTTTGTAACAGAAACCATAATAGAAATTTCTCCATTATAAACCTCATCAATAACTCCAGTATGAACTGTTATACCCTGCAGAGTCAAACTACTTCGTCCTAATAATAGTCCCACGGTTCCTGCAGGTATAGGCCCATAAACTCCTGTAGCTAATTTATGAACTCCTCCTGCTGGCGTAAGGATACACTCTCGAGGAGCAATTAAGTCAACGGCAGCACTGCCGCTGGTAGCATGCATGAGATCAGTAACTAAGAGCCGATGTTGAGATTGTCCTGTAGTGTCTGATGAAAGCTGCCATTGCTTACTGGATACTGTTGAGAATTTACTGTCGCTTTTCCCGTATTGTTGTTGCGGCCCTGGGTTGGGCCTAACTTCCCGTTTCCCGAGACATTATCTCGTGGAGGCAAAAGATTTCCGAACTTATCCTTTTTGGAACGGCATTCATTAGTCCAGTGTCGTCCTTTACCACACCGGCGACACATACCAGGTGCCTGCTCATTCTTAACCTGTTTTGATATTTGGCCTTGCCCTTTTCGACAATCTCGCCTCATATGTCCGTACTTTCCACAATTGTAACATTTAGTACGATTATCTTTCAATCCTCCAGTTATGGCAGCTGCAAGTAAATTGGCATGATAAGTAGGAGATCCAATATCATGGCAAGCTTTTATATATGGTTCAAAGTGGAGAGTTTACAGCTCGTAAAGGCCGCAATGCCTTCTGGCATTCAGGATTTGCATTCTCAAAGGCCAAGGATCGTAATAATAAATCTTGTACATCTATTTGTGCTACATCTCTTTGAATGGCTGCACGCAATCTAGACAAGAAATCAGTGTAAGGCTCACCAGGCCCTTGCATTAACTTAGTAAAAGATTGTGCTGTTTTTCCAGGGGGTTCCACTCGTAGCCATGCTCGCAAACAACACATACGTATTTGAATGATTCGTAAATCGTCAAATTGAGCTTGAGCTTGTAGATTACTAAATGCGCCTGCTCCTATTAATTCATCTAAAAGTGGCCCTGGAGGATTACGGGCCGCATTAGTCCTTGCCATGTTTTCAGCTTCTTTTTTCCACCAAGTCTTAAACTGCATATATTGTCCAGGTTCAAGAACAGTCTTGGCAAGCGCCTCCCAATCCTGAGGAATTAATATGTTTTCGGAAGCACACCCAGACAAAAGACCTTGAACATAATTAGAATGCATCCCATATGCATTAACGGCTTCTTTTAGCATTTTTAAAAATTTTAAATCATGAGGGTTATACTCAACGTTCATATATCCATTCGGAAATTGATTGTTAGCCGGCATAGCTTGTCTAACAATAGGGAAAGCAAAAAATGGTTCAGAATATTGCTTTTCTTCCTTATTCATCGCTTCTTCCAATAAAAGTTTATTAAATTCAGGTTTTAGAGGAAATCGAAACTGACAAGAGGCTCCAACAGGATAAGCTGCTAATTCTAAAGGAGGAGCTGAAGGAATAGTAGGACATGTCTCCTGATATGAAGGGGTGGTAGCATTGTTTTTATTTTCTTCCAATTTAGTCATCAAATCTTTCAAATTTGAAAGTATATCAGAAATCTCATTCTGTTGAGAAAGTGGCATCTCATTTTGTTTGCTAGCTTGCTCCCGATCTTTATCATCATCAGAAAAAGCCCCTTCATCACTGGAACCCGAGGAATCCTCTCCTGTCTCAGACATAAGAGGAGGAAGCGGAGGAAGGTCCTCTATAGGAGACTCACGGAATAGAGTACGAAAAGCAGCAGAGTGATCGGGAGCAGAATTCAAACGCTGAGGGCGCGCCCCATTTTCACTTTCAGTCTCAGATTGTAATGATTCCAGGGCAAGGGAAATTAGAATACAGAGAGACCAGATACTAACAGATATAGGGTCTCCATACTGATGAGCTCTTCTTAATGCTCGCATAACCTGTTTCCAAACTTTTAAATTCAACTGGTTATGACCAGTAGGTTGAAACCAGTAACAATGTTTACGAATCCCCGCAAACAATTCATCAAAAGATTCTTGTTTCACTTTCACTCCAGAACTCCGTAGTAACTGTTTTAGGAGTCTAATGTATTGACATTCCACTGAGGGAGAATTCCCCATGACTCTACTCTTCCCGGAGGTTTCGCTTTTCTCTTTTAGCGTACAAAAATCCCCTTCGGTCCCGCGTGACCTCGATGCTTACCTTCAGGTCCCTGTTCGGGTGCCAAATGTTGTAGTTTCTTATGTCAGGGCTGAAAGTAAGCTCATCACACGAGATGAATTGTGCAGAAACACAACAGTAGAGGGCTGCTGCTCTCTCAGCCAATAACAGTGCCGTCTCGTCCTGCTGTGGTGACTTTTATTTAAGCATTATCTAAGTTTACATCTTAAGACTTGTTTTCTTAACATTCCAGAAATACCAAAGCAGCCAGATATGCTTTTACTGATTATACAATAAACAATGGGTTTTCTTAAGAACATGCCGTGCTTCGTCCTTGAACCGCAAAAGCAGCACAAGGACATTTCCTTGTGTTCCCATTATTCTGATTATACTGAGGACATTTCATGGATCAGTGCCCAAAGCACTCAGGACTGCTTGCAGTTCTGGCTTTCTCGCACGCACCCAGCTTGCCGTGGGGACTCATGGGTCACGTCTCCTTCCATGTCCTCAGTTATTTCTCTACATGTATATACATGTATATATACATATATATTTAAAGTCCTCTCTCTCTCTCTCTCTCTCTCTCTGGATAACTATCTCTGCTAGAGGTTGAATGGAAAAGGCAAACCCTCACAAAGCATTAATGTATTAACATATTGATTTAAGTCACAGCAGCATCAAGCCCATGGACCAGAAGTCCACTGAGCCACTGCATAAGGTACACAGGTTGTTCCGCCCACACAACACAATCGCAAGTGACACGAAATCAGCGGGTGGCAGGGTTGCGGAGAAGCCAAGGCACCTCCCTGCCCACTCAGACCTCAAGCATCCCTAACTGGCGACGCCGCCCCAGGCTCGGCTTCCCGGGCGGGCTTCGGCACGGCGCAGCCGCACTGGTGCCGCCTTCCCACCAATCTCGACCCTCGACGCGTTCCGTTCGTGCGTGGAGGAGCCGGGCGGGAGGAAAGGCCGCTCCGTGGGCAGGGGGCTGCATCGCGCAGAGCGGCTGGACCGAGCGACGGCGCGGATGGCGGACTCCCAGCTGTTCTGCGTGGCCGAGGAGCGCAGCGGCCACTGCGCAGTGGTGGACGGAAACTTCCTCTACGTGTGGGGGGGCTACGTGGTAAGGGGAAGAGGCGGGACGGGGCGGACTCGCGCCGGGAGCCCGCCCGGCTTCTCGGCCAGAGTGGCCGCCGAGCACCCGCCCACACCCGGCCCCTACGCGGGGGCCGGTCCGCGGACCAGGCCGGCGCGCCCGGTGCCCCCCGCGCCCCGCCCGGCCCTCCGCCATCGGCCGCTCTCCCGCCGCGCCAGGGCTTGACGCCGCGCCGCCGTTGCTTCCACTAGGAAACTAGCCTTCAAACCCCAGTCCGGGGCTCTTCCCACTCTCCAGTTCCCCCGGTCCTCGCAGCTGGCCGATAACCCGGCTTACCCAGCACTCAGTCGGTTACTGCGCGATTGATGATCATTTTTAACTGCTTGCGCAGACTCAAAAAAGCCCACCAAGGATGCCGTGCTATATTATTTTGTAAATATTTACTTATGCCCGCGGCGCGATCCGAAATATCGAAATCACTGAAGCATTTAAGTGTTTCTAAGTAATTTTTAGTGGCATTCCTTTACCAAGGGGTAATTACGAAATTTTTTCGAGTCTCAAAACAGACTTGTATTAGCAACAATATACTTAAGAGTATTATGCTTTAAAATTCTCACTACAGTGGAGGTTTGTATATGTGTATTTGTTTTGTCTCTATAATCGTAGGATAATAGAATCAAGGATTCTAGAGATGGAAAACAACCCCTTTAGTTTACAGATTAAAAAAAAAGAAAAGCGAGCCATCTGGAGTTCTACTGGATGTAGAACCTACATTTTTCTGACTGACTCGATGCTATTATGTGACAGATGTAACATGACTGAATCGCTCACTGAAATAAAGAACATACTGTATATGTTAAATGATTCTCAGATCCAAGTTGGTTTTTGTTGTTGTTTTGTTTGTGTGTTTATTTTTAATTTGATTCAGTATCAGGATGAGAAAATCAGAACTCACATTTGAGTGCCTACTATACGTGGCATGTGCTAGGAAATCTCATATCCCTAATCTTGTATAATCCTTACCGTATCTTGTAAGGTAAGTAATGTCCCCATTTTAAAAATAAGGAAGATGAATCAGTAAGAGTAAATAATTTGAATGACCGTTTGACCTCAAGGGCAGCAGATTCCAACATAGGTATATTGGATTTCCAAAGGCTATTTTTTCTATGATAAACATAAATTAGGTGACTATGCTCTCTTAAGGTCTAATATTTCCACCATTTGTTCTTGATGAAAAAGTAGTCTATACATAATGATGGTTTTTGCAGAAGAAATATTTTGATTGTTTTTGAGCTCTGCCACTTGAAGATGTACAGGTGTCAAACTTCATCTGCTATATTGGTTCTTAATATTGTAAAAGTTAAATGAAAAAAAAAACTCACTTAAAATAGTAATCTGTAATATCTTATATCTTGTGACAGTATAGATTTCTGTTAAGCCCATAACTGAAATGTCTGAATTTTTTATATCTCATTTTAATCTTGAAAATTGTGTAATTGATAAGATTTCAGGTCTTCAGGTGGCAGTGAATACAAATACTTCCTACTACTGATTGATCCAATGAGTAAATGCTGTATGAGCCACCCTGGAAAGCACCACACAGATTGAGATCAAGTCTACTACTTTTTAAATTCCAGGGATTGTCAGCGCTTAAAATATGTCTAAGGCATAAGCGGAAGGAAAGGGAGAGTAGGAGGCAGAAAAGAAGACGTGGCATATCGTGAGAAAAAATAGAATCCTTCCCACAATTGTTTTATTCAGATCCTTCTGAACAGCGAAAAGACCCTGGAATCTGGAGGTAATCCAGTAGTCAGCAGTTAAGAATAATGGTCAGATGATTCCACATTGTATGTTCCAAGCACAATTTTCCTCCTCATTAACACAATGTGTGTTAAAATTGACAAATGTATATCCTAAAACTTGAATGGCCAATATATATCTGTCTAAATTACTTATTACTCTATCGTTGAGCATTTTCTAAAGGACTTTGTATCTGAAAACAGCCCTACCTCTAGAGGTAAGAGCAGCAAAGCTGAAAAAAGTAAGTAGTAAATTATAATTGGTGCCAGAATATTCTCTTGCTCCTGGTTCTTCCATATCCTTTCCACATTACTGAAATTCATACAAACTTTAGTATTGCAACTAGGAGCATTTAAAAGTTGTGAGTAGTTTTTTCCAAATTTTGGAGGAGAAGCACAGGGTTTTAGCATCCTTACAGATGATATGCTTTCTTCTTACTGTTTAATCGTATGAACAGTTTTATTTCCCTAACACAATTGATATTAATACATTTTGCCCTAAACTTTTCCTTATAGAAGCTAGCAGCTGAATCTGTTTAACTATATATTTCTGTTTTGAATAGGACTTAAAGGGAAGAAGAATCAATTTAGAAAATGTCTGAAAAGAATGAAGGTTTATACTACCAGATATTAAAACATATTATGATACTTTTAAATCAGTGGTCCTGATGCACGCTGAGAAAGCATGATGGAATGGAGAAGAAATAACATAAACAGCCAAGCATATAAGAGTATTTTGTATATAAAAGGTAGCATTTCAATTCTGGAAAAACAATTGCTTATTCAATAAATGGTCCTGGGGCAGCTGGAGGAAAATGATAGTGGAGTTTTAGGATTGACAAATGTAGAGAAGTTAAGCTATATGATACCAAAGAAAATATGTGACTCTTGTAAAATCTTGAGTTGGGAAAAGAAAAACTGAATTGGGAAAAAACTATAAGGGAAAAGGATTGGTAGACCAAAAATTTTTTTAATGTAAGTGAAAATTGTTTAATCATCTTAGAGCAGTCAAGATCAAAGTTTTAAAAAATTAAGATCTGTGCTTTTTAAACACCATAAAGTAAGAAGGCAAATGACAAACTGGGGGAGGTGTTTGCAACATTTATGATAGACAAAGGTCCTGTAAAATTAAAAATGAATATTTCCCTTGAAAAATGAGCAATGGATATGCACAGCAGTTTACAAAAGGAGAAATCAAAATAGAATATGAATCAAAGAAACCCAGCTGAAAATAGTGAATTTTTTCTTTTCCAATTTGCAAATATTAAAAAGAATTTTTGAGAAGAGCATGGGGAAATGAATTACTCATGCACTGGTAACCTTTTCTGAAGAGAAATTTAGCAATGTGTATGAAAATCCTTAAGTGTGTATTTCTTTAACTTAATAGTTCGTTTTATATATTCATAGATGGTGACACAGACCATCCATATTACGTGGAAGACATTTATTCTTTTTAGATGCCCAGCATTTGAACCCCCTTCCTCTTGTAGTGTCCCCCACTAAGCGAGTCTTGTTGGAGTATTTATTTTAGTTGTCTGAGTACCTCCTACCTACCTTCATAGAATGTATATTCTATAAAGAAGGGGGTTTTGTTCCCTATTGTGTCTCCAGTGTCCAGAATTGGGCATAGCTCATGGTAGGTGCCCAATATAAAAGAACCTGAGTGCCAGGTATTTTTCAGCTTCCCTTGCAGCTAGGTTGTGAGCAAGTAACTTGGATGCTGTTTGTTAGATGTATGTGTGCTAGATTTGGGCTCAGGAATAAACCTGTAAAAGTCAGGACCTGAAGAGGATTCTTAGCGAGCAGTAGAAGTTGTAGGAAGATAAGGTCCCTGGCAAAAGGCAGTGCGACAAGCTGCAGTGTGATGCTCACCGTGGCTGGGGCAGTTCGTGCATCAGACTGGTTCTCTGGAAGGGTTTCAGGCCTTGCTCCTCTCTACATAGATCAGAGGCTGGTTCTCCAGCTTCCCTGATGATTCCGTGAGCTACCTAATATTAATTTCTTAAAGTTTTATTCTTTAATTTAAAAATTTGAAACGTATGTACAAAAGAGTATGTAAAATAACTGTCGTGTTTAACTTCCAGATTAAAAAATCAGCTAGAATCAGTACCTTAGAAACCTCCTGTTTATCCTTCACTGATTATATTTTTCCTCCCACCCTCACAGGGTACCACTATCTTGATTTCTTATTAATTACTATTTTCTTTATAGTTTTATCACACATGTATCTGTCTCTCAACAATATATTATTTGGCTTTTGAATCAGAGCATGTGTTTTCTTTCATGACTTAATTCTTCTAGTTAACATTATGTTTTTTAGATTCACACATTACTTGTATTCAGCTGGTGTGCACTTGCATGGCTGTACCTGTGTTTACTTGGTGTTTATTCTGCTTGGTTAGTTTCTGTGCTGCCCAGTTATTAAATATTTTGAAAATCATCCCTGGATGCATTCATCTGATGTGTGTCCTGTATAATATTCTATTGTGTGAATTTACGGCAATTTCCTTATCTATTCCACTATGGATGAATACTTGAATGCTTCAGGGTTTTTTTGGGTTGTAAGCAATGCTACATTGAGCATTCTTGGTAACATATCTCCTGTTATACACGCAGCAGAACATGTACACTCCCTAGGGCATATACCAAGGAATGGAATGCTGGGTTGCCTGGTGCACACATCTCCACATTTACCTGGGAATGTCAGTGTTGCCAAAATATTTGTATCAATCTACACTACCACCAGCCCCCTCCTTGCTCCACATCCTTGACAACATTTGATGCCATCTGGCCTTAAAGTTTTTGCCAATCCAGTGAGTGTGACATGATATTTCATTGTGGTTTTTGTTTACTTTCCATGATTACAGTGGAATGTATTTTCATAGCCTTATGAACTATTTGTGTTTTCTCTTCTGTAAAAATGCTGGTTCCTGTCTTTTGCTCTTTTGTCTATTGAGTTGTCTTTTACTGATTTATAGGAATACTTTAATTATATAGTTGTATGAGTTGAATATGCCTTCTTAGTTTGTAGCTTATCTTTGCACTTTCTTGATGATTATCCTTTGTTTAACAGAAGGTTTTAATTTTAATATAATTTCAGTCTTTTCCTTAACGCTTTGTGCTTTCTGCATCTTAAGAAATCTTTCCCATTATGGAGATCATAAAGTCTCCTGTATTGTCTTCTAAATGATTTTTGGTTTTGCCTTCCATGTTTAAATCTTTTTTTCT